AATAGACCATTCACACAGAAAAATTAACAAAGACATCAGAGTTAAACTGCACTCTGGATTTAAACAGACATTACAGAGCTTTTCCTTTACCAGCTGTAGAATATACATTTTTCTCAACAGCATTCTCCAGTTTGGACCATATGTTAGGTCACAAAAGAAGGCTTGACAATTTTTTAAAAATAGGAACCTTATCAAGTATCTTTTCAGACCACAAAAGAATAAAACTAAAAATCAGTAACAAGAAACTGTATTTGAAAACTGTACAAATACATAGACATCAAAGATTACACTCCTGGTTGGGTACGATGGCTCATGCCTGTAATCCTAGCCTGTAATCCTAGCACGTTGGGAGGCCGAGGTAGGAGGATTGCTTGAGCCCAAGAGTTCAAAACCAGCCTGGGCAACATAGCAAGACTTCATCTCTACAAAAAAACAAAATAATTAGTCAGGCATGGTGGTGCCTTTCAGATTTCCTGGCATTGACCCTGCCTCCATGGTATGCAGGTGTGTAGCTCTTTCCAACTCTGTGCCCTCTGAGAATGCCACTACCGGCAGATGCCAGTGGAAGGCATACTGAGCTGTTCTACCAACACTCCAGGGATGGCAAAACTGCTTGGGATCCCTGGGGGTCTCACGGCAGTGCTGCCATCTGGGGACAAAGACCCCTCCCTTTGCCCTCTCGGGGCAGCCTGGCGTGGGGAGAGCATGCCCTCGAGAGCCAGCTGGCAGCAGCTTGCAGCCCGATTCCTGCACTCTGTGGCAGCGATTTTGGTGAGAGTAGATCTCTCTGCCTCACTTGTTTGTAAGATGGATGTGCAACAGGGCCTGTCTCACTGGGTCATGTGGCACTTAAATGGGTATAGTAGTCCTTCTATCGTTCTCAGCTCTATCCTGCACACAAGAAGCTCTAGATGCCGATTTGCTGTCACCACCATACCTCATCCTGTGGCTCCAAAATTGAGCTGTACAGCTTCTCCTCTTTTTCACACCTTTCAGGGAAAAGTTCTTGTAGCTTTGCCAGGGGGCTGAGCAGGAAGTCTGATCTGAGAGACCAGTCTTGTGTTGATTTCAGAACCAGCTTCCTGGCCTTCATCATTGCTGAGTTGATTCCTTTGCCTCCTCCCCGACCCCCTTCCCCACCCCAGCTCTTCCCTCTCGGTGATGTATTTCTTAGCGCCTCCTTGGTCACTTATGCAGACTGACCCATCAGCTACCCTGTCTCCTCCAGGCAGACTCTGAGAACCCCAAGCCGGAAGCTCTGTTCTGACAGCAGAGGCCTCACCCTACCATGTTGGCCCCATCCCCTGGAATCTGCCGTGGCACAAACTTTGGGAGACGTTTGGAATTTGAGCTGCAGATCCTTCATCAGAGTTTTTCAAGGGCCACACCCAGAGATAGGTTCTCTATTCGTGCCTTTTTTGGAAGCACTGAGGTATATCAACAAAGAGCCCAAGCCCTGGTTGTGTGTCCAACTCCAGGCTGGAGTCATAGCTGCCCCTCGCTTTGTGACGCTTGGGCAGATTGTCCCCCCCCATTTTCCCATTTTTGAAAGCGGTGTAATAATACCCACCCCATGTGGCTCTCACATAAATTAAATCAGAAAATGTACCTAAATGTCCTGAGGCATGGTAGGTGCTCAGTGTATTGGGGTTCCTTCCTCTACTACCTCCTTTCCCTCTACTCACCATCCCCACTGAGAAATTAAAAACATTGTCATTGTGCCCAATCCCACCGCAGCTCTCCTATCTTTGAGTTTTCTTCTCAACTCCTTCTCGACTTTCACTGATTGGGAGCACTTGTAGTGATTGGAACTGCGCCTTATTAGATGAGCCTAATGTGAATGTCTGGAGGCTGGCACCTGGCTTTGTTTTTTCTTTCCTCCCATAAAGTATGGTCCCCAAAAGATGAGAGTGGAAAGAAAAGAGAAGCAGCAGCAGCTTCTCAATGTACTCCAAAAGGATGGCTGGAGTGAATAGCTTTGTGGTGTAGAGTCCTAAAAAATTCATCTCCAGCAGGAAGCAGCAAATCAGGTGCCCAGAGGCCAGGTCACTGGCAGGTCTGTCCCTCTACCTCTCAGGCACCCAGTCTCCTGCTCTCACCATCCAGAAAGGAGGATGAACAGGAAGGTTGTAGGCCTAACAGAACTATTTATTTAGTACCAGCATTGTGCCAGGCATTTACACATGTTGCACTTAACCCTCACAACCACCTGAGAGGTATTATTTCCTCACCTGAGAAGTTAAGGGACTCACCCATGTTGATATGGATAAGTGGCAGAGCTGGATTTAAACTCTTTCTCTGACTCCTGCCTGACTTTGAGCAGTAAATTTCCACATTTTCCATCTGCAGATCCCCTTGGGTCTTCCCTGTGATCTCCTAAAAGATAATTTCCTTCCCTGATTATTTTTTATTTGCTTGAATGTGTTTTCCAGGTGTAAGAAATGGGAGGGGCTGGGCTCGGTGGCTCAGCCTGTCATCCCGCACCTTTGGGAGGCTGAGGTGAGTGGATTGCCTGAGCCCGTGGGTTCAAGACCCGCCTGGGCAGCGAGACCTCATCTCTACAACAAATCAAAAAATCAGCCAGGCGTGGTAGCGCATGCCTATAATTCCGGCTACTTGGAAGGCTGAGGCGGAAGGAAAGCCAGAGCCCAGCAGGTCAAGACTGCAGTGGCCGGGAGCGACCACTGCACTCCAGTCTGGGTGACAGAGTGAGACTCCAACTCAAAAAAATAAAAAGAAATGGGAGGAAGAGAGGCAGGCTCCAGGTTAGGTGGGCAAAGATACAGAAACATGTGGGAGAGCAGCTCCCTAAATCCATTTATGTGGCTATGACCAAATTCCTGAGACTAGGTAATTTATGAGGAACAGAAATTTCTTTCCTCGTGGTTCTGGAGACTGAGAAGTCCAAAATATAGCAGCCAGCAGGTTCGGGGCCACACAGTCTGGCTCTCTCTGCTTCCAAGATGGCACCTTGTTGCTGTGTCCTCCCATGGCAGAAGGCTTTGATTACAGAGTGATTCTTTTAAATTCATTTGAATTCTAATTACTTTAAGAAGAAAGGCTCCATTTGATGTGAGCCACTAACACCTCTCTAACACTTGCTATTTGTAACAAAAGAAATCAGAGCTTGAATTCAACTAGACATTAATTACAGTTGATCCTTGGACAATGTAGTGGTTAGGGGAACTGACCCCAGTGTGTCAGAAATCTGCACATAACTTTTGATTTCCCTGAAAACTTACTAGTAATAGCCTACCGTTGACCAGAAGCCTCTCTGTTAACATAAACAGTTGATTAACATGTATTTTGTGTGACATATGTGTTATATATGTATTATATGCTATATTCTTACAATAAAGTATGCCAAAGAAGAGAAAATGTTATTAAGAAAATCATAAGGCAGAGAAAGGTATATTTTCTATTAATTAAGTAGAGTGGTTAATCATAAAGGTCTTTATCCTAGGGGGGCATGTAACAACGTAAAGCGTACCTGGTCCCAAATGAGAAGTGAGGACCAGTTGGAGGCCCAGACTTCACCTGTACACAGCCTGCTTGTGTTGTTAATCCTTACCTGCGCCCCTTATCTCTATAATAAAGTTAAAAGGTCTTCATCCTCACCTTCACATTAAGTAGGCCATGGAGGAGGAAGAAAAGGAAGGGTTGGTCTTGCCATTCCAGGGGTAGCAGAGGTCAAGAAGAAAATTCATGTGTAAATGGACCCATACAGTAAACCCATGTTGTCCAAGGGTCAGCTGTACACTGCTTTGTTTTCATCAAGGTTACTTTTACAGTGACCTTTTATGTCAAGTGATACTGATTCTCTATTTATGACAATGGCACACGGTTTCCTTTTTAAATAGATCTATTTAAATAAAACAAACGGAGTTCACTCAAAATTCTGTAAATAACAATGCAGGTGCTACTTGGAGACAGCCACACTCATGAAAGTGGTATGTGAACAATCCAAGCTTGGGTAATACTGTCCTTGCCAAGAAAGTCACAGCTGCCAGGCCCAGCCAGCGTACTCACAGGAAGATCTTCTCTGGGCGACCAATCTGGGAGCGTGCAAGTTTGGTTTGATTAAGAAAAAGACTCCTTTCCTTCTGAGAAAGCAGGAGAAAAGCCAGACTGTTCCCAGGGTCTGCTGGTGCCAGAAAGAGTGAGGCAGAGCTCCATCCTCAAGGAGCACGGTGAAGTGCGTGGATTCTGGAACCACGTCGCTGGGTTCAAATCCTGGCTCTGCCACTTACGACTGTGTGACCTTGAGAAGTTATTGACCCTCATCGGAAGCCTCCATCTCCTCATCTGTTACATGGGTTTATGAAGGTGTTTATTTTATAGGTGTGAATTAAAAGTACTCAGAACTATGCCTGGCACAAAGTAAGTGCCACGTAAGAGTGAGTTGCTAATCTTAGGAAAGACTGACAAGGAAAAAGATGATTCTAACACAGCACCCTGTGTGCCTTTAAAAGCAAAGTGCAGAGTCAGGACACAGGTGGTTCCAGGACAGTTTCTTGAGGGAACTGATTTACAGTGCCTGGATAATCCGTAGGAGTTAGAGGAGGGAGAGAATGTTCTGGACAGAGGGAATCGCAAATGTAGAGACTCAGAGGCAGGAGCCCCTTCTTGTGACAAGAAAAGCAGCATTGGCCACAACACAGGCTGTGACAGAGGCTATGTCACACACTGAGAGAGGCAAGAAGCGGGAGTTAGCACAGAGGGCTCCCTGTGCCCTGTTAGAAACATTGGCTTCCAGGAGGGTGGGGTCGGAATGATCTCTGCAGCCCACCATGCTTGAAACAGCACCCCAGACCCCTTGAGCCCTTGTGTGGTGAATGAATGAATGCTCTCCTTTCTGCTTGTGTGACCTGAAAGTCTCAGGGACCTCATCAGTTGGGTGAGGGACTCTGAGGACCGGAATTTCTGCAGAGATCTTCAGAAACAGCTTCTCGGCACGTGTTGACTGCCCAGAAGATCTGAACTCTTCCTTCTGTCCACAGGCGACCTGGTATCCCGCGCAATGCATCACCTGCAGCCCCTCAATGCCAAGCACCATGGCAACGGCACCCCACTGCACCACAAGCAGGGGGCCCTCTACTGGGAGCCTGAGGCTCTGTACACACTTTGCTATTTCATGCACTGCCCGCAGATGGAATGGGAGAACCCCAACGTGGAGCCCTCCAAAGTCAACCTCCAGGTGGAAAGGTAAGGACTCCCTTGCCTTGGAGGGCCAGAGACAAGCTCCCCTCCGGCCAACGCAGCCTTGTGGTGGGTGGGCACTGCCTCCAGGGGGACAAGTGTCAGGGAGGGGAAGCATGGTGGGGGTAAGAATGGCCCAGTTCCCAAAACTTGCTGGATGGAGGGGTCCAGATGGGAACTTTGTGCCCGGAGGGGGTGTCTTAGACCCATGTGGGGTCTTTGAAATGGATTGAGATATAGGACTGGTCCCATTTGGGATAAAAATGGCCTGAGTCAGATGAGTGGGTCTGCGCATTCTGTAGGGTACGGGCCCCTGCAGTGAAGGCAGTCTCAGGGGATGCCACCTCCTTGGGTGGGAGTTATCTTCATCTTCCTTTCATCCTGGCTGCTCAGGGACTCCCAGGGGAAATCAGAGGCACCTGCTCAGCCAGCTGTGGGCCTCTCAGGTAGGCAAGAGACTGGATTGCTCTGGGGAAGGCAACATGGCTGTTCCGTGGAGCAGAATTCTCGTGGGGAAGGAAGGAACGAGAGGCTTTGGCTTCTGCTCCCTAGCCCGGTCCCTCCTCTTCTCCACACCTCAGACTCTCAGCCTCACTTCTGTAAACCAGAGGCTGGACTCAGCAGGCCCTGTGGTTCCCTTATAACTGGAAAATCTCAGGATTGTGTGAGGACAGTTTCACTCTCGCAGAGGTAGAGGTTTAGAAACAACTGTAGGGAGAGGAGGCTGCCGGGAGGTATCTTCTCTCCTCCTCACTTCCCTTAGCAACGGGCTCCTAGGTCATCTCTCCTCAGTGTCTCCCTAATCAGACCCCCTCTTCGACACAGGCTTATTTTTTCTCAGTCCTACAGGTGTGACCCCGTGGTTTATCAAAAAAAGTAATTAAGAGAGCCTCCTCTGGGATCCAGACTTCCTGGGCTCAGATCCAAGCTCTTCTCATTTCACACTGGGGGGCCTTGGAAAAGCACCTTCTCCTTTCTTGGCCTCAGTTTCTTCATCTGCAAAATAGGGACACAGAGAGTAAATTTGCATAGGGCTGTTTGAAAGTTAAATTTACAGTGCCCAGCATACAGCATTCCATAAAAATTAGCTTTGATTGTTGTTATAGATATTATCTGTATGCTGACTGCTGAACAAACCCCATCTTGGACTCCGTAGAGTTTTTGCTTCCCAGTGGTTTTGACAAGCTTCTTGGAGGCTGTTTTCTCCAGGATGGATTGGGGGTTTTAACTGGGTTCCTTTACAAACCATGTATCTTGGTTTTCCGTTGAGAGGAAAGATTGGAGCATGGGTTAGAAAGAGGTTGCTGCTATGTCTTCTTCCTCCTCCTCATCCCCTTCTCCTTTTCCTTCCAGAATCATGAGTTAGCATCAATATCTCAATTCAGTCTGCAGTTAACATAATCAGTCTCCCACCTTCCAGGCCGAATTGGTGGGGTACCTTGTGAAAATTTGGATGTGCAAACACACCCCAGGGGGACAGGTGGTGAGCTACCCAAGGGCAAAAAATTGTGTGTCAGACATACCAGCATGTTGCTTTCTCTGAGAGTGAAGGCTAAGGGTTGAGAGGCTGGAAGCCACTGGCCTCGGCCTGGGGGTGTCTAACTCTTTGCCATGCACTTTGGGAGACTGTACAAGTAGTGCCATTTCTCTGATTCATGTCATCTTCAGCTCCTGCCTCCGTTAAGGCGAGCCCCTCTCCATTCCCAGTCATTGGCCTCTTCTGAACTCCAGAACCTGGCCGCTCAGCCACCTTCTGGTTCCCACTGTTAAGTCTCATGCCTGCAGGCTGCAGATTCTTCTTCTCCTGGTCCTTTTCTTATGCCCCACACTTACTGTAATTTGTCATGACGTGTGTGTTTCTGTGCTTGTTTATTGCTTCACAAGGGCAGAGAACACCTCCATTCTGGCCATCACAGTGATGCCAAGCTCAACATCTGGGCAGAATAGGAAGTCAACAGATATAGCATGAAAGAATGAACAGATCCGTTGACCCAACTGCCTATGGGACATTTCTTTCTGGAATACTCACAACCACCTCAAACTGAAAGCTATCATCTTTCCCTCAAACCCACTGTTTCCTCCTTCCTCCTGAGTCTCTAAGAATGGTGCTACCATTGGCCTGGCTACCCCAGTCACAAAACAGATACTCAATCCACACTCCTTCCTCACCACCTCCAGCTGGACAGCAGGTCTTATTGAGGCTACATGGATGACGTCTCTCATTTCTCTACTCCTTCCTCCATAGACCACTGCCCTGCATGGCTTGCAACCTTACTCCCCCCACTTAGGTTTCTGCAGTTGGTGTCTAAACAGCCTGCCTGCGTGTGAGCCTCAGTCGTCCTTGGACCAGCTCCATCTCTTTAGATAGAAACTTCTAAAATGCGACATCTCCCCCCATGCCGTCCTCCCTGCTCCCATTCAACATGGTTGCATGGCTGCCGTTATACCTTCTGTTACAGTGCCCGTGTTCCCTCTTGAATCTATTTCTAGATTCAGAGCATAGTTGGAGCGACTGGAAGTTGGAGACCCTCTAAAGACTCCAAACCTTCTGGGAAAAGTTTTAAAGAGACATGAGCTGTGACAGAGAACAGAGAGAGCATGTCCCAGAGTTTGCTGGAGCCATTTAGCTTATTCTTTCCATTCCTCCTTAGTTCAAGAGACAGCACAAAACACAAAGGGGAGCTTAACATTTTCTGAGTTCTGTTCACTTTGGTCCTCTGGGAAGTGTATGGATTTGGAAGGCAGAGAGGCTTCTAGATTTGGATCTCAGCTCCACTTCTTGTAGCTCTGAGACCTTGAACAAGTTATTTCACCTCTTTGAACCTCTTTTTGTCATCTGTTAAATGAGAACAAGACCATTCTCGTGGGTCTGGTGCGAGCAGTGAGTTAGGTAGACATCACAGCTAAGATGTCTAGTGCCATGCCTGACACAAGGGGAACCTACCATGCCCCCAGAAAAGTAGCTTATATTGTACTTCTGGGGCTCTAAAATGTTATCATTGCCTCTAAAGAAGCCTGGATGTGATCCTTTCTAGAGGAGTAGCTATTTCTTCCTGTTCCCTGATGGAATAGGCTTTGATATTAGCATCTGAAAACACACTTGGAAGAACTTCAGAGGAAAGAGTCAAATATTTATTTACACCAGCTCTGTATCAAAACCTCCAAACAAGAATTTCCAGTGGAAGTTAGGCCTCTAATTTGAAGTTCTCTCTCTCTCTCCCCCTCTCTCCCTCTCCCCCCGCACTCTCTCTCTCTCCCCTCACCCCTTCCCTCCCTCCCTCCCTCCTTCTCCCTCTCTGCCCTTTTTATCCCCTAAATTGAACAGTATCTCCCTGACTCTTTATCTCTATTCTGGCAAAGTCAGGCATGACACTTATGTGGTTTCCACTAGACTATAAGCTCTTCAAGAACAGGAATGAGTATTATTTGTTTTTGTCTGCACCCAGCAAAGAGCCTGGGAAATGTTGGTGAAATATGGATTGGTTTCTGCCTCAAAGCATCCCTTCCTGTCAGAAGAGCCTTTCTTGGCTGAAGTGTCTGGAAGTAGGCCTATAGGCGCCATTTTTCTGTTTCATGTGGGCACTGCTTTAGAGTTGCTGCATTTGTTTTGGATAGCTTCATTTTTCACTGTGGGATTTTGAAGAAGCTCAGTGCCAGTGTGAAAATTTCTGTAGTCTAAGTTTTTCCAGAACTTTAGCTACTATATTTCTTGAACTGCTGAAATCTTTCAGGTACCTCAGATATTTTTATTTAAGAAAAAAAAAAAACTCAGGTACCATTGGTAAGATTTTCAATTAGGTGATATTTGTTTTCCAAACAATAATGATGCATGCAAACACCTTAATTTTGGTAGTAGGGACCATGCACAGCTGTTGTTTTTGAGTAGAATCATCTTGAATGTAGGACAAGATTTTCCACGCCTACGTCATTACTGGAAATATCAGTGATTCCTGAATGTCTTTGGCCATGGCCAAGTTCAGTAATGCGTTACCACAAATGAAAAAAATAGGACACATAGGAGTATTTTGTTGCCTCAGGTAGCTGGTAATGCGTGGGAGCAACTGTGAGCAGCTTTGCTCAGAAGACTAGCAAGTTAGGTGTCTCCACCCTCCTCCAGTCTCACTGAATACAAGCCAGAATTCATCTGTAGGCAGTGGTAACTCTCATGCCTTTGCAAGCAGGATGTACAAACAGACATGATTGAGACATGACTGACTGTCTGCCAGGGGACCCTCAGCCACACACATGAGCATACAATCACCAGTCACCAACTGTTGGAGGAAAACTTATGATGTGAAACAAAACAGTCTTAACAAAGGAAAGAACTTACACTCGAGGAAACAGAGCTAATATAGCAAACATAAGACATGAGACGTTATTGGCTCCCACTTTCATGCTACTTACTCTACCAAAGGATCACCCCAACACATCATGTCTTCTTCTTCTTCTTTTTTTTTTTTGGAGTTGGAGTCTCACTCCATCACCCAGGCTAGAGTGCAGTGGCACGTTCACAGCCACCCCAGTGTTGACCTGCTAGGCTCGGGCGATCCTTCCACCTCAGCCTTCCAAGTAGCTGGAACTACAGGCACATGTTACCCTACCCAGATAATTTTTAAAAAATTAATTGTAGAGATGGTCTCGCCAAGTTGCCCACGCTGTTCTCGAACCCGTGGGCTCAGGCAGTCCCCTCACCTTGGCCTCCCAACGTGCTGGGATTACAGACTTGAGCCACTGCGCCCAGCCCACATCACTTCTTTTTTTCTTTTTTTCTTTTTTGAGTTGGAGTCTCACTCCACCCAGGCTGGAATGCAGTGGCCTGCATGCTCACGGCCACCCCAGCATCGACCTGCTGGGTTCCGGCAATCCTTCCGCCTCAGCCTTCCGAGTAGCCAGAACCACAGATGTGTGCTACTATGCCCGGTTATTTTTTATTTTATTGTAGAGATAAAGTCTCGCCAAGTTGCCCGGGCTGATCTCGAACCCTCAGGCTCAGGCAATCCACTCACCTCGGACTCCCAAAGTGCTGGGATTACAGGCTGAGCCACTGAGCCTGGCCTCTTCTTAACAATCTTTCATCTGTGATATATGTGACAAGTAAGATTCAAATTTCAGCATACTCCTATGGACATACCCAGGATTATGCAGAAAATCCAGTGTGCCGGTTATAACTGTTCTAATCCATCATGGAGTGTATATCAGAAAGCAAGAGAGTGGTGGTATCCTTGTGGTGCTACCAGTCAGGATTCTTAGTCACAAAAGCTGAACCTATTATGACTGCTTAAAGCAGAAAGAAGATCCATTGTGGGTAGAAAGTTAACATGAGAATTTGACCTTGGGTTAATTCTGTAGCTCTGTCCCCTTGGAAACCTGACCAAAAAAGTACAGTGTCAACTATGTTACTATGCAACATTGCTTACGGTCAGAACGACCCCAGATTAGTAATATCTGGCCTGGTAGTACTAGGAATACTTGAGAAAGAGCCAGTGCTCAGGGCTTCCCTGAGTTCACTGGCTTTTGTAATTGGCCATGTTCTTTGAAGGGACCTTGGAAGCTATTTCTATAGAGTTGTTACAAGAGATTTGTAAGCCAGGGCATCACCCGCAGCCACCAACGTGGATCTCATCTCCTTGCACCTGTGTGTCACCTGGGCAGAAGACAGCTCCCAGGTGACTGAGGGAACTGCCAAAAGGACCCCCCCACTGAAGGAATATCTGATGCTGTCTTGCTGGGACAGGGGTGGCCTATGATAATCCTGTGAGTCTAAATGCTCAGCAGAGCTGAAGGAGACTTCTGGTGGGTGTTGAAGCCACAGAGCCAGGCTTCAAGGCCGCACAACCTGGGACAGTACCCAAGTTACATCCCAAGACTGCTCCAGCAGAGACCTCACAGCCACTAGGACTAGGCAAGGATCCTAGACCTCACACCCCTGATGCTGGTCGTTGGACATTCCAATAAGACAGAGGTCACCATTACCCCTGAAGCTGAATGTCTGCGTTACCACCCACATCAGCTTCATTTTCCACCTAAGTCACAGCACCTCCCTGCACCCTAGCAAGGGAGTCTGGGAAGGTGAATGTCTACCTTGTAAAACCCCAGACTCATAATATGGGAAATTGTCTAAACACAGGAACATCATCAGTGGTTCTGGGCAGCCCAAAGAAATGAACGAATCCACTATCCTCTTCTAATTTACTTTTTTAAAAAAAATAATAATTCAGAAACACAACATTTGCATAGGCCAGTAATTACAACCATTATTAGCCACACAGATCACAGCTGATTGGCTCCCATACCACAGCTGAGAAGCAAAATACTGCCCAGTCCAAGGACCCCTTGGGCTAATACCCTGGAAGCCTCAGTCACAAG